TGGGGAGGGGGGGGTTGCCATGGTGCCGAGGGAAGGGCAGATGATGCTCGTTGTGGCAATACGTTGTGGTGTCTGTCGATCGGCGAGAGCAGCAGGCGTGTCAAGCGCGCGAAGTCGGGGCATTGAATGCAAAGGAATCGTGCTTGCCGTGTCAATGGTGGATTCAATTTGGTTCGATGGCCGTGTGCGTGCGGAATGGAAGCATAATTCGGCACAAGCATGGGAACGTAGGCAATGAGTTTGTGGATCCCAGTGTAGCGACCGACGGAACTGGCAGAAGGGCTTCAGAACAGACCGCGCTGGGGGCCCGTACGTCTGCCAGCAGTGGATGGTCTTGTACCTACAGTACGTTCGAGATTGCTGCCTGGTCGCGTAGGCTGGCTGATCGGTGTTGGGAACGCACGTGCGGCCAGCCTTTGTCCACCAGCGCAACCGCCACAGCAGTTCTCATCACATGGAAAGTGCAGATTGTGTCTCGGGTAGACTGGCTGTTCTTGTCTGTGTCAGGAAGGGTGGCCGAACAGAACCCGAAAGTCCTTTCGGAAGTGCATCAGGAATCGTCCAAAGCACAAAGGAAAAATGAGGACCATGGGAGTGTCCATCCTGTGCTGGCTGCTGGTGGGAATGCATTTGGAAGCTCTGAAGCACGCGGTGAGATACTGTCTGCCACTGTTGTGGTGACTCAGTTGTCACAAGTGATTTGCTCCAGTTTTCTTTTCCACCACAGATTAGCTAAGATGCGAAGATTTAGAGACAGGAGTTGTTCGCAAACTCAGCCTGAAGGGCACAAAAATCACCTTGGCTGCACTTCTTTGGCCAACATCGCCTTCAGGGGCATGACTGTGCTCTAAAGCCTGATGTCAGAAAATGCAATGTTTATGCCCATGGCATGCCCATGACCATGGCCCATGGAACTGGAATCCACCAGCAACATTTGCCCGTGGACAAAGCAGGTCCAGGACTGCCAGTTGGCCATCAACAGGTCTGATATTGTACAGGATTCGAAATTGTCAATAAAAAAGAAAATGCACAACACAGTGCTCAGCCAGAGATGTTTGATTCCTATCTGTTCCAATCAGGTCTCTGCTCAGCAAGCCTACAATTCCCCTGATTCTTCCACCTGGGGATTCCACGACTCACAGACCCAACCAAAGGTGAGACATACGATCCTCATATGCTGGCCCATTTCTTATTGTTATGCATGTGCAGATTCGCAGCACCCATGCGATCTTGGGCATTTGCACATCGTCATGTATTTGTGTTATGTGCATCTGTCTTTGTAATGCCAGCAGTACACCATCGATGTACCATTGCCTTTGCTGCATATCGAAAGAAGGCTTTCAGGCATGGAGGCATGGATGCCATCAGTTCCCTGGCAATGGCTCAGGTTTTGAAGGCTCCCCTGCACTGTGTCTTGAATGGCATTTACTTTTCTTTGCAGGCAGAACATCACATTTGTGCTGTGTCATTCAAAGTCATGTACATTTGCTTCACCACAACAAATGTACATAGTCACACTGGTGTTTTCACTTTCTGGTGTGTCGATGACACTGTACCCTGCTGTTTTTCTAACATGGTGTGTCAACAATTGAATGCTTGCCACCCACCCAAACATATGTAGCGGTGCTCAAAACAGGCCCAAAAAGGGTCTTGAGGAAAGAAAGGAAAGATGAGCAGCTGCACGTGTTGGTCCAGGATGCCCACACACCAGCAACAGTGCCAAACTGCGTTCAGGGGATTCTGGTGACTGGTGCTGAGGATCAGAATTTGGTAAGTCCAGGCCTTTGTGTATGTCTACAGCCATCCCAATTTTAGGCTGTTACAACCGAAACCCGGTGTTTTCATATCTACTGACGAAAGACAGAAAGCCTGACACATATGCTGAAGTGTGCTTCATGTTGAGGTGCATTCGCACTGTCAATTGCCCTGCTGAATATGTGCCTCGCCCAACCTTGCCTGCGCTTGAAAGGCCTTGAATGCAATTGCTCTGTGCAATTGCTTTGCATCGGAGTTACAGAAGGCAGGCTTCTTTTTGCTGCACAGTTTTGGACTTCATCTCTGTCTCATTGGAGTCGACTTTGCAGTCAGCCTTGCACTGCAAAGCCATAGCTTCAGGTTTGCGCAATTAACATTTGCCTTTTGTGTTGCACCAGCTTGCTGTGCATGTCGCATCTTGACTGTATTCTTATCCTGGTATGACACTGCACTGTGTGCATGCATGCTATTGGTTTCGTTAAACACTGTCTCCACCTGTCGCATTGTCGTCACTCTTTATGGACACGTGTTGGGTGCCTGTAGTTCAACTGCAACGCAGCAAGTTTTCCTATCTCAAAAGCGCCTGGTGCTCCAGGGTCGAATGGATGCTGACTGCTGTCAATCCTTTTAGATCATCGGCCTTATCCTGATTATTCGTTGACCTTGAACAACCAGGGCAAAGACAAGCACTTCTCCAGCCACAGGATCTCTCCAGACTGTATGTTTGCGTCACATCCTCAGAAAACTCCACAGTGAGTCCAGCCCACGTTCATTTTTTCGCACAAGATCATGAATATCTTACGTATGGTGCTGCAGGGCGTGGATCCTACTGGGCGCTCTGCTCGCTGCAGCGGCAGCGATCAGCCTACCTTCACGGTTTCTGATGAATACCTGCCACACCAGGTAGCGGATGGCTTCCTGCAAGGGAGCTCACAGTGAGCTGGTCTGCCCATCATATGGCACCAACTCAAGATGGCCCTTGCTGAGTTACGAGTGCATGAAAAGACTGCAGGAAGCAGTTGCTGCCTCCATCTCTGCTTCCTCTCGCTTGCTCTTGGCAACAGCCTCATCGCATTGTCTCCTGTCCGGGCCAACTCACTATGTGCCTGCGCACGTAAGTTCAGCTCACTGTGCGCCTACAGACATGTATTCATTCCTTTTTTATATTCCAAATGTATTACACTATGATAGGAACAGAGGAGCTCCCCCACAAATCTTGAAGCACGACAGGACCCTTTTCCAGCAAGAACTGATTTAGGGCCCTAAGCAAAAAGAGAGGAAGAAGAACATATGGTCATTCTTGAAAAGAATTGGTGGTTGATTTACAACTTAATGGGAAACACAGCTTCCACTGTTAATGAGATAATGCGTGTCAACTTGGTGCCCTGACCACAGGGAAACTACCCATCCTCAGAGACTCCTGGACAGCTGTCAACATGGCCTCCGCAAGACTCAGAGCAACTCCTGGTGTGGCAACTGTTGCACTGTGTTTGTCGATAATGGACACCACCAGTTACTTCAAGTTGTGATGCCAAGGACACGCAAGTGGACCCTGTCACTCCTTGTACTTGCATGTTTCGAAACGTGTTGTCACACCAGTGCCATTGTTGATCGTCGGATTGTTGGCGTGATTGGTGTGCCAACAAGGAAGATGATTGCTTCTTTGTTGTCATCTTTTCTTGTCCCATATTATTCCACGTCTATTTTTATGAGGTGGCCAAAACTTGACCATTGTGCTTTATTTCCCACCTGAGAATAGTGTCACACAACCAGTGTTGCTGTGCAGAAAGTAGTGGCCTTGGTGCCCACACCCCCAACTGAGGCGCCCAGCTATGCGACACCAGCGCAACCCACACAACCTGAGCAGCCTGCACAACCTGTACAACCAAGACAACCCGAACTGCCTGTCCAAGCTGCAGATCCATATGCAACACCTTCACCACCGACGAACCAGCCATACGCACAGGTGAGACTCATCAATGGGCCCACCTCCCCACCAGATGGTCAATGTGGCCCACTGTCACAGTTTGCTGTCGTTGCTGTTGTTGTTCAGATTGTGGGGAATTGCAAAGGTAAGAAAGTGCCATGTCCCAAAAGTGTCTGTGTGCATAGTTCAACTGCAAAGCATGTTCCTGAATGTAAACATCAACAAAGGTCAAGAATCCCTTTGAGGCCAAGTCAGCCCAAGCAACAGCATGCAGGTGGAGCGGGCTTGAAGCATCACTGGCTACATACAGCCATTGGTGTGGCTTTTGGGCACGTTTGGCATTCAAAATGTGTCTAAATTCCCCTGGTGCAGCCAATGCGGGACATCCAGGTAATTTCACAAGCTGGTGGCGCATATGACAGCTGCTTTAATGTGTTTCCCAGTGCCCTGCACAGGGATTACAATGTCACCTGGAAACTCTGGTCGTGAGCAAGATGTGAATCTTCCTATTGGCAGTTCTTCTATCACTGTTTTTGTTTGCATTGCTGACAGTGCCACCAGATGTGGAAAATCACTGAGTCTTGTCCAGCGCAGCTTCGTGGACAAGAACCTGCCAATGGCAGTAGATGACACACTAGTTGGTGAAGCCTGTAAAAATGTGCTTTTAGTTTCTGCTATTTTTAAACCCCAAGCTATGCATTTGTCGGTTGGACACTTGGGGCACTCCACCCAGCCCAGGTCTCCCTCCTGGCACCTCCTGCCCAGTTCCATCGCCTCACAGATGGCGCGTCCAAGCGAGAAACATTGCGCATCGGCGCTTTCCGCCCTCCAGGTGGGCTTCCAGTGGGTATCGAACGACGGCCCCAGCCGCCGCTCCAACCCACGGATGCCATTCCTCTCGAACACCGAAGAAAAGCCCGATTCCACACAGTCGACTGAAATCTCCCCGCTGTTGACATTTTGGGCACAAGGTCCCACACACACTTGCTTGGGCTGGATTGGCTCCTTTGCATGCGATCTGTTTCTGGTTCTTTGAAGTAAATCTTAACTCTCACGCAGGGCTGGACAGCCGCGCGCGCGCAGGACGCACACGGCGATCTGATCAACCCCGCCTGCCGCAAGATGCCCTGGCGGTTTTCAAGCCAAAAGGGCGGCGTGACGCGTTCCTTGCTCACGGAAAATAAAGCTAAGAGGCAGCTTGTGATGTTTGTAAAGCGAGGTGATACTTCGAAGCATCACCTCAGCGCAGCAATACACCGTGGAAGAGGCATCTTGTGATCCTTTTCACCGAATCTTTACCCCATTGCGTGCCCGCCAGGGCCACGCCCAGCTCTACGGCTTGGGTTACAGCGTCTTCCGCGTCTTCGGCGCCTGCCCTACCGACGACGAAGTCCGCGCCGACCTCCAAATCCTCCTGCGCTACAGCCGCCGCGTGCGGCTCTACAGCACCGAGTGCGGCAACGTGATGGACATCGTGCTGGCCGCGGCGTCGCGCGGCGAGCTGGCCGTGCTGCTGGGCGTCTGGATCGACAACAGGGCCACCGACCAGAAGGAGGTGGACGACCTGGTGGTGTACCTGGACCGGTACCCGACCGCCGACGTGGAGGGCATCGTGGTGGGCAACGAGGCGCTGTTCAGGAACACGCTTACGCCGTCCCAGGTGGGGAGAGGCCCAATATGGCCGCCTTGCGCAGTTTTGGGCCCATGTTACTGAGGTCTGGTTACCAGACCTACCTACCACCAGTAGTGAAGTTGTGGTGGCGGTTGAGGTTTTGTTTTGCGCTGTAGTGCTGACTTTTTCTTAAACTGAAGTTGTTTGTAGTATGTAGTATTTGGTGAGTATGTGGTTGGTGTCCTAGATGGTGCTTCCACGGTTGGTATCTTGAGTAGTGTCTTCGTGTGCCTGCTTCCTTGCTGTGACGTATCATGCATTTTGCTTGCTTGAACATGAGAATATGCATAGATGCATCGAATGCCAGCATGCCCTTTTAGGCCCTTAGATCGAGAAAGTGTTAAAGTGATAAGAAAGTGTTAGCTGAGTGCCGTATGATGGAAGTAGAAGGATACACTGCAATGTCAACAATTGTCTGCAGCATCAACATACTACCTGATTTCACCTCAGTCAAAATGGAAACCAGGCCACAGGCATGTATTTTCTGCATGCATGGATTTTCTGGCTTGCTCTACTATCCTTGAATCCAAGAGGGCAGGGACACGGAGTGCCGCTGTGGGCATCCAGTCAGCACTGCCATCCTTCACTAAATGTTCTGTGCGCCGGGTTGGGGTGCCTGGGGACACAAGAGGCACCTGAGGACGCACGTGGACGATGCCAAACAGGGGCCTCAGGGGCACCCCTTGACGCTCCCGTTTCGCTTTACAAAGAGCATTTTACAACAACACAAACTGTCCCTCAATATTATGCCAACTAGCATGTGAAGCACTCATCAGTGATGTTCGATGTGCGATCGCCGCAAACAGAAATGAATCACACAATTCCGTGTCGGATGAAATGTGGTCATATAGGAGCTGAGGCGAACAAAAAATCGCAGCGTGTTCGCCCACAAGCGTAGCCCTTTGGTTATCTGCGTACTGTAGTTTATTCAACCCTTCCGCATAGTAACGTAACGCTTGGCCTTTTCCCGGAGAAGACAATATAACAAATAACGCTCTTTTAATGAATTTTAGCGGAGCAACATGAAAAAAGAAACAAAATAACGATCTGAAAAATTGTGCGGAGCAAAAAACGTAACAGCATGATTGTTTGATGCGGAAGGGTTGAATATACTACGGCAACCTGAGCCCCGAAACCAAAGGACAACCTCAAAAGTAGTAAGAAAGATAAGAACAAAAGAGGATATGGAAGGTTAAGCAAGAATTGAACGTAAAATGTACAAGTCTAAAAGAGGATACTACGACTTGGGCGAAAGTTCTACGGCGTCAACACAAAGCCGAGCAAAAGGTCCCGTTGCGCCCCCAGGTGGCCGGCCGCGTCGTGGAGGTGAGGCAGAAGGTCCGGCAGGTGGCGCAGGCCCACGGCGCCTCCTCCCTGCTGTCCGCGCCCATCTTCTCTGTCGACGTCTTCCCCCACCCGGAGGTGATGGCCGTCTCGGACGCCCTGGGCGCCAACGTGCACCCCTTCTACCGCACGGACATCGGCGACCACCCCGATGCGGAGGAGTTCGCCGACATTTTGGTGCAGAAGTCCTTCGAGCAGTACCAGACTTTCGGGTCCACCCACGGCAAGAAGGTGGTGATCACCGAAATCGGCTGGCCAACCTCCTCGGCGCCGTCCGATTCGAACATCGGCAGGCCGGACGTCGCCGCGGCCTTCCTGAGGAAGTGGGCGGCCTTTGCGGCTGAGCACGGGATCGAGTACTACTGGTTTGAGCTGTTCGACTCGAGCTGGAAGAAGGCGACCCTGCCCCACGAGCCGGCCAGCATGTCGGAGTTTAACTGGGGCCTCATCCGGGACGACCACCTGACGGACAAGGGCCTCATATGAGGGGGGGCGGGCTGAGGAGGACCGCCCCTGACCCGCGAGGAAAGGCCGAATGTCAGGGAGATTCGAATGTGTAATTTTCGCGATTTTCCTTCTTTCAGGGAGGTTGGAATTTTCGTGAATTTTTCCCCGGTTTCGGAGAGGTTGGAATATTCCTGATTTCCTGATTTCAAGGAGATTCGCATTTTCAAGATTGTCCTGATTTCGGTGAGGTTCGAGTTTACCTGATTGTTCCTGGTGGGGTCTTGGGACGCGGAATAAGGGTCGGGATCGGGCGGCTGGGGCCACGGCGGCCCTGCTCGAGCGGAAGGTGGATTGTATGTTTGCTTTGTAAATTCGTGATTCGCGGACTGGTTGGGCTCTGACAACGGGCGGTGGGGTGGGGGCTGTGGCGGGAGCGTTCCCGGGAATATCTGGGAACCTCTGGAATATTTGGCCTCATTAGTGAGGTGAAGTCATCGGCACAGAGTCAGTTTTTGTGACGGAATGTAAAAATTTGGAAAGGAGGACGAAGGGGGGAGGGGGGAGGGGGGAGGGAGGAGGGGAGGGGGGCGCCCGGGTGGATGTGGTGCGGTTGCGAAGAGGGATGCAACCAGTGTGCGGCTGGAAAACGAAAGATGGTACGTTGTCGGGGTTCCAGGCCGGCCGACGCATATCGGTGGGATGAAGGGGTTTGTGCCCGCCAGCATGGTGGCCACTGGAGGGATAATGGAACGCGCAGAGATAATACCCGTGGACGGGTCGTGGCGTCGTTATTGACTCCTGGTGCCGGCTTTCTGTGAAGGCACCGTAGCTATTGACCCTTCGAGGTGCCCGATTCGCCGGACGCATTGCATTAGAATTGGCTTGGGGTGTTTTTGCAGCTTGGAATTCGGAGACGGATTTCATGGTTTGTGTGGTATGTGTAGTGCAGGCAGCTGTATGGCTATTCTACCCTAGATGGGCAGGCATAAATCATGGCCAAAGAGTTTCGAAAGGCTGGGCTTTTTGTAAATTCAGCCTTGCACAGGTTCTTGCCAGTATATGCTTGTCAGTATATATACTTGTATATACCGTATATAGTTTTCAGTATATATACTTGTATATAATATATGTAATTGTCAGTATATACTTGGCAGAGTCCACATATATTGTGTTCACGTGAGGGCGGTCGCTTGATTCGCATCGCGACATTCAGTAGCTGCCCGGAAGCAAAAGTGGCATTGCCAGAGCAACCCACGCAGTGCTCAATGTGCACCGGCGCTTTGGCCCAGCCATCTGACTACCAGGTTCCATTGCGCGTTGCTGCAGAGCGCCAATCAGGTAGTCCAGCATGGCGCGGAACAGGGCACCCATGCCTTGGCCAGCCCTGACGTCAGCACCAGCAGACTGCTTCTAAAATCCATGATGCCACCACCCTTTCGCAGTTTTCGCAGCAACAGTTTCGTTTGCAACCCACAGGAGGGGGCCGCAGGAACCCTGCGAAGCTCCCCGGCTGGGGCCTTCAAGGTCAGGGGCTGGCTTGGATTTTACGTTCACGCTTTTGCGTTTACATGTTTACACGCAAAACGCAAATTTAGGAAAGGGGCTATTTTACGGCTGTTTTACGTTTTTGTGTCTCGTTGGGACACCCAGGTTGCACACGATGAAAGTAGTACTATGACCCGAACACAGCACCTGCAACACAATTGCAACAACTGCAGCAACGTTCCAAGGTATGTTGGAGCCATAGAGCGCCATGGCTCATGCCTGGTCAACAACCTCCTTCCCCACCATTTTGATTGCACCCACGATTGGTCCTGAAGTGGTGCCTGGCACCGGGTCCACGGCTTGGTGGCGGCTGGCGGCCGGTGCCGAACTGGTGCCACCCAGGGACAGCTCTGTGCACACAGGCTGCCCCTTTGTGGTGAACAGTCTCCCGGTCTTGGCGTGCTTCTTGCCTTCGTGTTTCTTCTTACGCATCGCATGGTGGCGCGGAAACTCCTCTCTGACCTCCGGGGGCACTTCGCTAGTGCATGTTGGCAACATGCAGGCAACATGATGTTGCCACTCCAGAGCCGACGTTGCTAGCGAGATGGCAGCATCGTCGTCCCTCACCGCCCTTCACGACTTGCTGGCAGTATACATAGGTGGCTTGCAAGCCTTTCACGTCCTTAAAATGCTTGACGGACAGCCCATACACTCCCTTGCGCCCCATGGCGAGCGCAGGGGACAGTCAGTCAAGAGGTAACCACGCAGCACAGGCGTAATGTACACGCACAGTTTTTATCTTTTAGTGACGCATTTTTACGAGTAAAAACGTAAAAACTAACTTTATGCGCAAAAGCGGAAATTCGTTTTGAGTTTACGGCCCAAAAACCAAGCCCGAGTGTTACTACAAGATCACTGACAAGCATGTATGCCCAGACACTGATGGCATAGTGATGCATCCGCAGGATCCGGGGATGGGCAGCGTGTGGAGGGCACGGAGAGACAGATGCAAGGCCGATCTTACAGAAGGGCGAAGGGCCACAAGCCGCCACGTCACATATATACGTATATATGGGTATACCCTGGGTACTGTCAGCGTCCAACAGACAGGAATTGTCATAACAACACCATCAGTCAATCACGGATGAATCACCGTTCTGTCACCGCAGCCCCTCACACGTTCGGTAAGCGCCAGCCCGCCAAGGCGTTTCCGACGTCTGGGGCCTTTGGCCCTCAGCGCCCTACAGCCATGCCCCCCTGGGGCGCCCGCCGCACGGCCTCCTCCGCCCTCTCCCTCAACCGCGCGGCATCCCTTGCCCTCGGCCGTGCGGCATCCGCCCCGCTGCCCGTCCGCGTGCTGCCCGCCCACCGCACGCCACTCCAGCTCTTCGTGTTCGACACCCGCCGGGGCAACCGAGAGGGATGCGAATCCGACAAGGCGCTCGCGTTCTACCCGCCGGAGATGCCCCCGGATGATCAATTGGGGACGATCGGCCTGGCGCAGGCGCTGGTGACGTTCATTGGGACATTTGCGCCTGGCGAGGGGAGGCTGCATACATTGGAGACGGAGAGGCATTGGTGGGGGGTCAAGCGGTTTGAAGAGGGGATCTGGTTTGGAGTTGTCGTGGAGAAGACATGGGGGCCGGGGAGGATGGGGGGCGGGGCATGTGGGGCCCTGCTCGAGGAGGTTTACGCCTGGGCGTTGATGTTGCATGGGTCGGTGAATCGGCTGTTGGAAAGGGACCCGTCCGGTCAGGGCGCGGCGGTGAGCGTGCAGGCTGTGATCGAGATGTGGGGGGACAGGCTGGTGGGCGCGCGGGGCAAGGGAGACAAGGGGGACAAAGGGGAGTACGAGAGCCCGTTCGGCCTGGCCCGGCACCGGGCGGTGCCGGCGATCCCGCTGGGGCGAGCGGCGGCCTTGGCCACCCAGGTGATGATTCGGAAGGCGTGAGGGGTTGGTGGTGGTTGTGGTGGGGATGTTGTTGTCCATTACAGTCAAATCGACAACTGAACGTAGTGTCACCGGCCCATGCAAACAACGGTAATGTCCGTGTCCAAGTGTCCGAGCCCACTGTGGGGCCAAGGATCCTTCAGAACCATCCAACATAGCCATCCAACAAGCGGACGAAACCAGGTCCCAAGGAATCAGCAGGTGGGGTGGGGTGGGGGGTTTGTAAAATGAGGAAGATAAGGGCTGAATTGTTTGTGTGGTTTGGGATTGGAAAGAACAGGAGGGTCCCCGACCATATGATTCACTTTGATGCACCTTGCACCCAACCAGATGATGCACTTTTGATGCGACTTGCACCGTATTAGATGATTCGTGATGTTTGTGAGCACATTTTGCCCAAGGGACAAAACAGGGTCCAAATCCATTGGCTTTGAAAGAAGGGGGGCCCCCTTGCGTGTTGCAGGCGATAACAGGGAAGAAACCAGAGACCTTGCACGCAATGAATGCAAATACAGGTGTCTGCCACATGTGAGTGGCGATTCGGTGGTGGGGGTGGACTCCCTGGTATCTCTTGAAGTCTTGGAAATGACAGAGAATGCTGTTGAATGGGGCGGGTGGCGGGTATTTTGTTGGTTTTGCGAGTTGTCCCATGAATAATGCTCATGTGAGCTTTGAGTGCTGATGTGCATTGCCTTCTGGACCAGCCATGGGGATGAACCCAATTCCAGACTCTGCATGATTCGTTGAGCAAAAGGAGAACAGGTCATACAATGGACCAATGGACCTGTCTGGGCAGCGGAGTAAAAAAAGCAGCTTTGCTCAGATATTGAGAGAAGGTAGTCACGTGACCAGCCTTCACCAGGAACTTTCCCAGGGGCAATCTTTTCTTTGCTTTTTGCTGTAGTAGTGCCAATTCACTGAGCCTGCACCCACAGCATTATAGCAGTGTTGAGCAAATGGTGCTGTGCCTTAACAGGAAGTTGCTTGCCGTCTGCTGGCCACAACCCACAACAACATGAAGCCTGTGAAGGCCGTGCTCATCGTCTACGACTCCTTCCTGATCTGGAGCACCCTGAACACGACCATGACACACACAGTGTTCAGCTATGCCACCCAAACGCTCTCCACAGGCTTTAAGTCTCCCTGGGGCCAACGTCGCTCTTCCACGCTAAAGATACCCACATCAGATGGCACCATTGCCAGTTGCTGGCTCGTGACAGTCACACAGGGCCTCCTGACATTCTTCCTGCTGATTGATGAGTTTTCTGGAGGGGCGAGACAAGTGCTCAACCAGGTACGTGGCATGTGACTCTTTTGACATAGTTTCTTCTGTCCACTTCCATTGAGTTATGTTGTCAATCATGAAAAGTGCAGCGATAACTGTAATTTCGTTCTATTGGCCCCTCCATCAACCACTGATTGCACCTGGTGTTCGTATGGGGTCAATGTCTCCTTCAAAAGGCTGAGCTGTGTTGTACCAACATATGATATACTGTTTATGTGAGAATGACGTTTGCATTGCGTCGTTTCATGTGTGTTATGTTCACAGAGGCTGATTTGTATTTTGTAGGTGCCCACAAGGTGAGCAACAGTGTTCCTTTTTGCAATATATCTTCCCAAACTGCCCATATGTTTCCCAACATTCAGAAGCGTCTGAAACCAACTTGTTGACTACAGTAGCAGGAATTGCATATGTGGAAACTTGCATTTAAGTATCCATCAACACTTGGATCTGTGGCGGAACAGGTACGCACCATTATGTCGGCCAAGTCAAAGCAGATAGCGGGCGCGGCGGCAGGGGCGCTTGACGCGCAAAACAGGTTCCACATATCAGGCTACCGCTACCTCCTGCTGGACGTGGCCATGAGGTTTGGCACCGTGAGCCCTGGCAAGAAACTCATCCACCTCACCAGGAAGACCCTCAACCTGCTGGCCCAGGCGCAGGCGTGGCTGATGGACAAGGGGGTGGATGGGGGAGGGCACAGCGAGGGGATGGAGATCGCGGCAAAGGGGGACCATGGCGGTTGGGTGTACGTCCGGACCGGCTTCAGCAAGTCACTGTCGGTGGCCCTGGAGCAGCTGCCTGACGAGGGGCTCTTGCAGGTGGCCGGGCATGTGAGCAAGCTGTGTGAAAAATTCTTTCCAGGCTATTTTGACATGTAGCTTGACATGTAGGACTGCCCCCCTCGCCCACAGTGGTGAAGGGATGGTTTTTGGTTGTGTTGTACATATCCTTTGATTTCGTTTGTCGAATAATGACAAAGTGGGACCGGCTCGAATGTATGGGGGCTGGGCATGTAGTTGTGTGGGTAGAGTTGTGGAGGACTCCTCGTGTTTTCTGTTTAGGTCGCCCATTGTTGCAGTTGCCATGCTGCGAGGTGTGGCGTTGGCGGCCTGTTGCTGGCATAAGGTGGGCTGCCCACCAGCGCGGGAGTTCCATTCAGCGGAAACGGAATTCCTGATCACTTGTAAATTGCCGGTGCTCAACAGCAACTGATCAGCTGCTGAAGTCTCATGAGGCTTCCGCACAATGCATGGCACGGCGGCACTTGCGACAGCGCAAGGGCTTCCCTGTGCGGTGTCTTGGGCACATCGGGAAATTCCATGGCAGTGACATCTTTGGAGACCTCTTCTAGGTTACCACCATCATGCCCTGCGATGGGGCCCAGTGCGATTCCCAATGCAAATGTCCGATATCCTTCACTTCAGGACATGAAGTCATGTAGGTCATGAAATCAGGAAGGTGAGGAAGGTCGTGAGATCATGAACTCGTGAAAGTCGTAAAGGGCATTAAATATATTTTTGGGTTTAGGGTGTTTTTAGATTTTAGGGTTTTAGGTCTGTTGAAGTTGGCCATTTCCAGGCCATAAATGACAAGGCAAATGACTACGTCAACTTCATCTACCCAGCATCATCAGGCAACATTTACAGCGCCACCAACCGACCGAGATTGGCTACTTCATCAAGTACATTTTACAGCTGGACACATCGGCAGCGTGAGGAGCGATCAAAAAGTTACAATCCGACCAGAACTGTTCAAGACCAAACCGCTCAGCGACCACAGTTCCAGAATCAGCTCCAGTGTACGGTAATAGCCCCCTCCATGACCGACTACGCATCAGGCAGCACAGTTCCGTCCGACTTTGACGCCCAGCATGGGATAACGACATCCTCCCACACACCCACAATCCGTCAAACGACCAGTCCGACATCCAAACACCGTCCAAGACCTCAAAAACGGCAAAAGCGCACAGCAGCGCTCCCCTGCATCCTGACCATCCTGCACCGCGCGCCCTGCACCCCACTCCTGCCGCTCAGCAGCCGTTTGGAAGGTTCCCCGCAGCCATGACCGCGGCGCGCTTTCGCCAAGTCGAAAGTTGGCGATTCCTCATCGCCCAGTGGCTCGCCTTGGGGGACCTCTGGCTCTCCCGCTGGTATCTCGAAACGGCTGACTGCCCAGAGGGATACTGGTGTTTCGGGCTTACGGTGGTGCTTCCGTTCAGCACCGAAGACGAGCAGTGGCTGCACCACCAGCGGGAGCATGGGGAGGACGCATTACGGTATCAGTTACAGGAGCAGGCGCACGAGGCGTACGAGCGAACGGTGTCAACACAATTGACGTCAGGGCACCTGCCAGGGCCAGTGGAGAAGCCTGACGGAATCCTAACTACAAGCCGGAAGCCGTGTACCGCCCTTGGACCCTCCAGGTGCATCCCCATCCTCATCGGCCGTACACCGGCATGGGGACGCAGGCCTTTTGTCAACGGATCGCGGCGATGATCGAGCGTGAGGGGGGACGAGTCCAGGCCTGGCGCGGCGCCGAATTGAATTACTACAAGCGCCAGGTACACATCAGCCTCAACATCAGCGTGCCGTTCTCGGACGCGCGCTGTTGGCGCATGGAGGGTGGAGGCGTGACCCGCCGCGAGTACGCCGCTACACATCCGTCAAGCGCTTCTGAGATCTTCCCGCGGGAGCGGAAGGAATTCGGGATCCAGACTGATCCGAATGCTGCCGTCCTGCCCTCGGCCGCCTTCGGGGAAGCTAGCGCAATCGTAGCGCGACGACTCAACGCGGGCAAACCGCCGTACACGAACGTCGAGCTGCGCGCGGAGGAGCGCGCCTGGCGGAGGGCCATCCGACGTCAGCGCCGGGAAGCGCGAGCGCGTGGTCAAGCCCAAGATGACGTCATGGTGGACGCACCCGCTGATGGGCCGCCTGCAGTACCGGCTACCATCGGCGCTGCCGAGGTGACGACACCGGCCCTGCCACCTGATTTTGATGGGACGCGCAACGAGAGGGCGATGACGCCATCGCTCCCGCCGGGATTCGGTGGCTGAGGGGCGCGGACTACGGAAAGTTGGTAGACGGGCCGGCGATCGTGACAGGACGGTGTGCAAGCTGGCGGATGACGCGATGATTGGAGGCCGCCTGGAGCCAGCTGGCGCGACTGGAGCTGTCCAAGGGAATCCCTAGCGGAGGAGGAGTGTGCGGGAGTCTGGCTGGCATGTGATTGTACGGAACGGGCTGTAGTGGAGCGTGTTACTGATTGGGTCTTTTCTTGTCCAGTTACTGGACTCCAGTAGTGTGAGCGGACTCGGAAGGGTGACGAGAGGGGATGAACCCATGTGTGACAGCTGTACCAAACAGACGTTCCTGTAATAAAAAGCCACGGGGAGTCTGTCCAGGCAGCTCTCCGGCAGGCCTCTGTGTGACGAATCGTGTCCCAGCCGCCTGTATCGTCCCGCCGTCACGCCACAGCCCCCCGCCCGGCTCGACCAATCACCGGTCTTGCCCTCTTGTGGTACCCGAGCGTCCGCAAGCCGGCCTAAGGAGCCCCGAGGCTCTGTGGCGTACCTCACACTCGCGCTGAGTGCTGAGTACGACGGGTGTGGACTCCGGAGTGACTGAGGGCTGCGCATTACGCGAGGCGAGCGTAGTCGCTGGAGCTGGAGTGCCGTAGCACCCTACGGTGGTGCTGATCGGCCGGTACGCGCAAC